CAGTCTATTCGAGCACCTGCAAGGCAAGGGTGGGCGGGCAGCTGCTGAGCGTGCAGTACCGCATGCACCCCTCCATCAGCGCCTTTCCCTTGCGCTGCTTCTACCGCGGCCGCATCCAAAATGGCGCCAACGTGTGCCGCCCGCAGCACAGTCCGCAGCACTTGTTTGGCGCGTACAGGTTCTTTCACGTGAAGGGCAGGGAGGAGCGGGAGGGCGGGGCTATGGAGGGAAGCAGCCGCAGCATTGGCAACTCCGTTGAATCTGCTCTCGTTCCTCACCCTCCTGCACCGCCTCGCTCACGGTGAGCCTTGCATGCATCCTCCCGTCCTTCTTCTGCCCTTCGATCCTACACTCCCCAGGGCTACTTTCTTGCCCCGGTTCCTGCTTCCATCCTCACATTTACTCAACTTCCGTTGTTTGTCTCTTCCTGCCACTGAACCTGCAGTGTGCAGAGGAGCAGCGGCGCACATGCAGGATGGCACGGTGGCTGAAGGTGGGGGGGATTTCGCCGTACAAGCAAGCGGCAGGTGGAGGTGCTGCAGGGCACAGTGCATGCGAGGGACGGGGGCGTGGAGGCAGCTTCTGGTGAAGGCGGGCACTGTGGACGGATTCCAATGCAGGGAGTGTGACGTTATCATCCCCAGCACCGTCCCGCTGCAACACGGTTGGATCGATTGGATTCGTTGCTGACCCTCGACGGTATGCCTGTGGGCCTTATGGAGTTTGTTGAGTTCAGGAGCAATACCCCCTTTTTCTGTGCGAAAGAATGCACGCTTTTGATTGGAGAAAGGGTCATTTGTTATTGACTGGTTCCTTCCGTCGGCGCTCTGCCATTTTCCCGTTCTTCCAGTCTGAACCGTTTGCAGTGACGCGAGCGCGCCATGCCATGTGGGTGGTGGGCGGATGGCGACACACTGAGGCGGGGCAATTGCACGTGGGAGCAGTTGCTGCTGGATGTGGAGAGGCGCGGGTGTGTGGTGAGGGCACACAATGATCCAAGGCTGCAAGGGGCTGTCAGAAAGGCTCATGGAGACACTAACAAACCATGGGCCGGAGATTTGTAGCACAGTAGGATGTGATGGTGAAAGTGCAAATTAACAAGATTGAAGGCTTATTGAACATGTTTGTGAGCTTCGTCTCTTTGCATGCACGATGGAATTGCTGGAATCAGTGTGAATGTCCGTTACAATTCATAACTGAGCGTACAACTTTTGAATATCAAATGCGTGCTGCTAAGCAAAGTGGGATTCTTGAATCATTAAACATGATATGCTAGTTTGAGTTGTTTATCTGATGCACGCGGGACATCAACGGTTGTAACTGATACCCAATTGAGCAGAAGTGAACCGAATTACCCCCATCTCATTCTGGTCCCGCAAATCAGGTCAGAGGTGGTCAATGCCAGCGATACTCTGCCGTCAGTGCTCTCGATGGTCCCAAAAGGTTCCATAATGCACGTCAGATCCTTTTCAGCCCCACCTTTCAGAGATCTGAGTGCCAACATTGGTGGCAGTTATTGGAGCCACGCGGATGGTTGTCTGTCCCAGCAATGAACCACTGAGGCGGAGCATCCACCGTGGCGCCTACTTCACACATGCCACGTCTCACAATGAATTTTTGCATCCTTTCTCGTGTCGAGCTCTCGTTCCGCTGGACAGTAAATTTCAATCCGCGACTCGGCAAACAGATATATACCCACTCGCCTCTCCGGGTATTATCGATACCACTTTGCTGTGCTGGATGTGAAAAGTACTAAGTGTAGGTTGGCTTAGGAGCCATTACAAGTTAGGTGCCTTGGGGATCGAGTTCGAGGGTGAGGAGGAAAGTATCGAGAGGTTTTTGAAAGAGAAGTGGTTTCACTAGCAAGACTTGGGATACAAGTAAAATACCCTAAATTGGGTTGTACTCATTACAGAGTACCCCACTTCAGGCTAGACAGCAAATACATTATGACACTGGACATTGTTGATCTTTCTCACTCACCTTCCTTTCCGGACGTCCTACTCTGTGTCAAACGTCCCACGCTATCACACTCTCGAATTCTATCACAATGTCTTCCTCCCTCGTCGCACAGCAATCTCTCGCCGCCCTTTCCTTCAGCACAGCAACGAAGGGCGCCTCTCTCTCCGCCAATCGCGTAGCAGTAGCTCCCATCGCCGCTCCCCGCGGTCTCTGCGTGACAGCCCTCATCGGCTTCAACAAGGCCGCCGTCCCCACTAAGACCGCCCCAGTAAAGAAGCAACTGCGCACCGAAGACGGCATCTTCGGCACATCCGGCAGCTTCGGCTTCACGAAAGCCAACGAGCTCTTCGTGGGGCGCGTGGCGATGCTCGGATTCACCGCGTCGCTGCTGGGCGAGGCGGTAACCGGGCAAGGAATCCTTTCGCAACTGAACCTGGGAGACGGGCATCCCCATCACGGAAGCCGAGCCACTTCTGCTCTTCTTCATCGCATTCACCGTGCTCGGCGCCATCGGCGGGCTGGGCGACCCGCGGGCGATTCGTGGACGACGAGGCGCCGGCGGGTCCGCCGATGAAGCCGGGGAGTGTGAAGGCGGCGCTGGGGTTGAGCGAGGAGGGGCCGCTATTCGGGTTTACCAAGGCAAACGAGCTGTTCGTGGGGCGCATGGCGCAACTGAGGCTCGCGGCGAGCCTGGTGGGCGAGGTGATCACCGGGCGAGGCGCGCTGGCGCAGCTGAATATCGAGACTGGCTTGCCCGTGTGGGAGCTGGAGCCGCTGCTGCTCGTCAGTATCGCCTTCTTCTTCATCGCCGCTATCAACCCCGGTACAGGAAGTTCATTAACGACGACGAGTAGGGTCGCTTGCCCCATCTGTACATAAATTACCGTAAGGTTCTGTTTCTCTCATGTACATAGTCAATTTAAGTTTATTATGCTTTTTCACATTATATCGACTAGCTTAGTATTTATCATGAATTGTTTGCTCTGAGCGACTTGTGAATGGCCTGCAAAGCTAGTAGACACACCGATCACCCACATTGATCATCCCATATTTCATTTATCCCAACACATCACACCCACCATCGAATTTCATCACATCTTAGCACGAATGCACACACCATCCCAGTATGGGAAGAGTAGAACTTGAGTGGCAGAGATTGGTGACTTCAGATTTGAAGATGACAAAATCGGGTTGAAGGTGGTAACAAACGGTCAGGAGAATTGTCCATATCAGGCCATCTTACTGACAAATACCCTTCCATACCAACCGATGTTATGTCATCTTTATACACACAATTTCATGCCATTTCATACACACCATTCCACGCCATTTAATACACACCATTCCATGCCATTTCATACACACCATTCCATGCCATTTCATACACACCATTCCATGCCATTTCATACACACCATTCCATACCATTTCATACACAAATTCCATGCCATCACACAGCCCATATCAGGGCACCTCATGCACACGAACCATCCCATACAATCCAAAACCCATATCATGCCATCTCACTCATTCACCATCCCATACCATCACACAGCAGATTTCACGGCACGTCAAGCACACACAATCCCGTACAATCACACACAATCCCGTACAATCACACACAATCCCGTACAATCACACACAATCCCATACAATCACACACAATCCCGTACAATCACACACAATCCCATACAATCACACACAATCCCATACAATCACACACAATCCCATACAATCACATCAGGGCTCAGGTCATCTCACTCACACACACCATCCCATACCATCAGACAGCCAATCCCATGCCATCTCACTCACACACACCATTCCATAAAATCAATCAGATCAGTTCAAATCCTCTCCCTCTCAGTGACCATCCCATGCCATCGCATTGACCACATTGCTCCATCCTCTCACTAACAGCTTTCCATGCAATCATACGCATAGCACCAGCCCATGCCATCAAAGGCCATCTCATTCCATCACAACTTGTCACACTATCCCATGCCATCACACAGCCCTTATCAGGCCACATCTTTCAACATGCACCATCCCATGCAATTATACCCGCCCATTCCATGCCATCTCACATTCTCACCATCCCATACCAGCACCAATAACGCATAACCTACTCTGCCTCATCTACCGCTAACTTCCTAAGTCAACATCGAGAGACTTCCTCGATGAGAAATGACGTGAAGGCAATCGGGAAGGTTGAGTTGGAGAAGAACATTGGTTTGGTTTTCCCAACCCTCAACCTTGAGGCTTGGAAACTTCCAACCCATCAAAGTGAAGATTGGAAAGGTTGGATTTTCCAACCAATCAAGTTGTGCCAGTTGTTGTTACAATCCACACAAACTTAAAACAACCATACAATTGTGCTAAGTTGGGTTTTTCCCAAACCAAACTATATTGCCACCTAGGCTCCAAGGCCTATTAGCTCCCCAACCATGGAAGCCATGGTTGGGAAAAGCCCCAAGGGGTATGATGGAAGGGGTTGGAGCTCTCAAGCTCATTCCCACTTCCCAACTCCAACAATCTAACTTGGAAATGGGATTTTTACTCTAAGTCTTTTGGGTTCTCCTAATAAGCTCCCCTACACAACTAGACTTGTGATTTTTCAAGGACAAGCTCTACAAGAAGCTCCTACCTACTTATTAAAGCTTCATCAACCTTCTTCAAGCTCCCTTTTCTCCTCTCAAGCTTTGAGGAGTACTGTTAAGGCTAAATTACCCCCTTGGTGGGATTAGTTGATCTTGAAAGCCTTGTATCTTGATTTTATAAATGTTGTCAAGGGTGATTTATATTTAACACACGGTTGCCCGTTGTTATAAGGGCCGTGATTGTTACATTGGTATCTAGAGCTAGGGTTATCCTAAGCCTAGTGGAGATTTTGCCCCTAGAGATTCTTTTTTTTATAGATCTTGGAGTGTGGTTTCTATTTAAGAGAACACTCAAGATCTGGAAGCTTGAAGAGTTCAAGATCTACAAGATCTACAACTGCAATTTCAGGCTAAGAAGAAAGATTTATCTCTCTTGCCCACCTTTTGGTGGAAGACTCTCTACTATTGAGTAGTGGAGTATAAACTTGGATCTGGAGGATTTGTTGAGGGTTATACAAGTTCTCTTCATTGAGATTTGGATAGACCCTGCCCTTTCACTTAGGTGATTGGGAGTGCTTGACAACAAATCTGTTACCTTGGGTAACTTGGATTATTCTGTAGAAGAAATTTCTTTTATAAGAATTTCTTGCTTTACCATTGATGTGGTAAAAAGACTTTAACAGAATCAACCCAGATCTTACAAGCTCCCTTAATCCTTATGGCATCTGGCCAAGAGAAGGATATGGCAAGGGAGGAAGGGCCCACTGCACCTAATGAGGTGGTGAACAATGCTGCTGAGATTGACCTCAATCAAGATGAGGCAATGGCTGACATTGAGTTGGATGATATTGAGGACTTGGACCTGGACCTTGGAGATGAGCATAACCATGGTGAAGCTGAGAACCATGATGAAGCTGAGCACCATGGTGAAGCTGAGAACCATGGTGGCGCTGACAACCTTGGGGAAGAGGATAACACCAGTGGAAAGGAGGCCACTGGTGATGAAAATGACTTCACTGAGGGTGAAGGCACGACTTATCCTATCTCCGAGGAGATTGTCCAACTCCAGGCTAAGGTGGCAACTCAGAATATCACCATCCTGCTGTAGCAGACGTCCATTGATGGACTCAAGAAGCACACTCAGAACCTCGAGGCTAGACTGAGCATTACCATGAAGGAGGTTACAGAGTTCCGTCGCAGCCTGGGCACCAAAAAACGCCAAATTGAGTGGTTCTGAAGACTTGCTCGAATCTGCGAGCATCGTTCAACAAGCTCAATGAGCAGTTGACACACCTTAGGAGGGAGGGTATTTACGAACCTCCTCCGGGGTGTAGATCCGCTCCTGCTGCTCAGCCGGCACCCGCTCCGCCCGCACCCCCGGCGGTAGGTGCTGCGACGGCTATGCATCAGCCACCTCCAACTGAGACCTCGCCCTTTGGGTCTCTCGCGGCGCCCTCTGCCTGAATTTAACCATAACAAGACGGAGGTGCAGCCTTGGCTCGACCTGGTGGATTCCACCATGATCCTTGCAAATGTGCGCCCCGAGGCTCGCGTCGCTGCAGCTACTCAGGCATTGGACGAGGTGGCCCGCAGGGCCGTGTACGGTGCTAAGAAGCAGGCACATGGACCATTTGAATGGCCGGAGTTCTGCACCGCGCTGAAAGAGGCATTCATGGTCAAAAAGTCCGACCTGGAACTGCGCGGACGCCTCGAGCGTATCAAGTGTTATGACCGTTCTGTGCAGGAATATGCGGTCGAGTTTGAGGCCGCAGCACGCTTGCTCCAAAAGCCCTTGGCTGAGGAGGAGATGATGCACATCTTCATGAAGGGCCTCCCTGTCAACCTGCAGCAGGCACACATGACCGGCGGCATGACCAATTGGACGACTTACAAGGAGATGAAGGAGGAGGTGATCAAAACCGACAACATCATTCGCACGTACATTTTTGGCCCTGAAAAGACAAGCCTGCAGCCCCGTGCTGAGGGCTCTGGTGGTCATGGGAACCGGCCCCAGAGTGCGAAGGGTGGTAGCGGTTGGAACAAAAGGCCTTTCCAGCAGCGTGATCACCAGCCTGGCCCACAGGCCAAGAGGCCTAACGGAGGGGGAGGTCATAGACCTAACAAGCCGGACTTCTCCGACAAGCAGTGCAGAGGCTTGTGGAAGGATGGGGCACGTCATATAAAGCAATGCCGTGATAAGAATGCTATCAAGTATTCTGGGAAGCCTAAGCCAGGCGGAGCTAGACCTTCTAGAAAGAAGGATTTTCATAAGCCCAACTAGGGTGTGGGTACCTAGTTGGAGGAGTAGATCGAGTGAATGAGGCATATGTGCTATGTGATGATGATATATTAAAACTAGAGAAGCTTGCTAATTGCAAAATCTCTTGTTTGTTTGCCTCTTCTTTTAATAAAAACTCCGTTTTTTATCCTCGATCGTACCCACTTGAGAAAATTTCCATGGAAGCAATGCAAAGATAAATTTTCAATTATTTTCTGAGGTTTGGACATTCTGCGTTCTGTCATTGAGATTGTGAGTCGTTGCACTCAAGAGCACCCCCTGACTTCGGTTGCGTTGGTGACTCGCACAGTGAAAGGCGAATTGTTCCATGTGCTTCGTGGATGGCCGGTCCTAGCGGCGTGGGACAAGGGACACCATGTGTGGTGGACCAAATCTCAGTCACATGGACGCGCTCGTCACAACGTCAAGGTGTACTTCAAACCTTCGACGAGTATTGTGGCATGTCCTATTCACCCAAAGCATCAACAAAATTTGTTGCTTGCGGGTAGCCGTGAACGGGGATAATGCAAAAATCCTTGTTGACACGGGTGCAACTGTTTCCCCTCTTTGACGAAAAGTGGGTCCACAGCACGCACGATCCTAGTTGAAGGACCGTCTTGCCCCATTCGCCTTGGTGACGATAGCATCATCCCAAGCAAAGGGCAGACACGGATCAACATGGAGATCGAGGGTTATCACGAAGAGATCCGCGCGTATGTTTTACCCCTTCTCGCAGGTGTCGACCTTGTCCTTGGAATGGATTGGCTTCGAGCGAATGAAGTCAAGCTCGATTTCCATGACAATACTGTCTCATTCTCAAAGAATGGTGACACAGTCCAATGGAAAGTGCCTAAGGACTTGATCACGAACGAACAGCAAACGTCGAAGCGTCCCGATGTGAGTTTTGCGCTCGCAAACGAGTTCGGACAGCATGTTCGACAAGCCGATACCTTCTTTGTGGTACAGCTTGAGAATGCTCAACACGAGATGCCTGGGGTCGAGAATTTCCCGCCCCAGATGAAAGCACTGGCGGACGAGTTTGCAGAGGTTTTTGAGCCCATCCCAGATGGCCTTCCCTCCGGACCGTGCTGTCGGTCACACCATCCCAGTGGAGCCTGGAAAACTCCCACCTTTGAGACCTCTATATCGCCTCAGTCCAGCTGAGTACGAGGAGGCTAAACAGCAAATTGAGGAGTACCTCAGGAAGGGATGGATTGAACCAAGCGCATCACCTTACGGAGCGCCGATCTTGTTCGTGAACAAGAAGGGCGGAGGGTTACGCATGTGCGTAGACTACCGTGCTTTGAACAAGATAACGGTGAAGAATAGGTATCCCCTACCGAGAATAGAGGACCTGTTCGACAAACTCCAGGGTGCCCAGTGGTTCAGCGCATTGGACCTCGCGCAGGGGTATCACCAATTGCGCATCACCGAAGAAGATGTACCCAAGACGGCTTTTCGATCGCCGTTTGGTCATTTTCAGTGGCGAGTGCTGAGCTTTGGCTTGACCAATGCTCCCGCATCTTTTCAGAGAGCTATGAATGAAGTCTTTCGCGAGGCGATTGGACAGTTCGTTTTAGTCTATCTGGATGACATCTTGGTTTACTCCAGGACGGAAGAGGAGCACACGCGACACCTTAAGTGGGTGTTAGGGAAACTTCGAGAGCATAAGTTTTATGCTCGTCTGTGGAAGTGCCATTTCTACAAACGCGAGTTGGAATATCTTGGCCATCTCGTGGAAATGATGGTCTCAAGTAGACCCAAAGAAAGTTGTCGCAGTCCAGAACTGGCCGGTACCACAAGATGTGGGTCAAATCAGGTCGTTTTTTGGGACTGGCGAACTATTTTCGTCGATTCTTGCAGAATTATTCTACCGTTGTTGCCCCATTGACGGCCCTCACTCGCAAGAGTAGTGCTTGGCAATGGACACAACAATGCCAAAAGGCATTCGACGAGGTCAAGCGATTGCTGACCAATGCTCCGGTTCTGGTTTTACCAGATCCGACAAAGCCCTATGAGGTTGTTACTGACGCTTCATTGATTGGGATTAGGGCGGTCCTCTTGCAATAAGGGAGACCAGTGGCATTTGAGAGTCGAAAGCTCTCCCCGGCAGAGCAGCGCTATACGACGTCCGAACAAGAACTGTTGGCGGTCGTTCATGCGCTACGAACATGGCGATGTTATCTAGAGGGTGTGGACTTTGTGGTTACGACTGATCACTGTCCAAACACCTACTTCTCCACCCAAGCCACGCTTACTCGACGTCAAGCCCGATGGGCGGAACTCCTTAGTGGGTTCACCTTCGATATTCGATATCGAGCGGGTTCGACGAACCTCGCTGACCCCCTCAGCAGACAGCCGATAGGGGCAGCAACACGTCTAGACGACACAGAGAATGCGGCAGTATTTTCTGCTTGCTTCAGTGTCCTAGCAACAGCTCGAGTGAGTGAGATTACCTTCAGTGGTTTCCTGAAACGCATCCGCACAGGGTATCAAATTGACTCCTGGTTTCAGGACCCACGAAACACTAAGGAACTCAAGTGGGAGCATGAGCTCTGGTGGCGTAAGAAGGAGATCGTTGTACCTCACGTAGGTAGCCTGCGGAACGATATTCTGGAAGAAGTGCATGCCACTAAGTACGGAGGGCACCTAGGGGTCAAAAAGACCAGGTGGGCCTTGAGTGAGGTATGCTGGTGGCCGGGATTGGGCACTGAGGTCCAGCAATTCGTGGCGCACTGCGACGCATGCGCACGAAATAAAACGGACACAAAGAAGCCTGGTGGTTTGCTTCAACCACTCGAGATCCCGAATGAACCTTGGGAGAGCGTATCCTTGGATTTTATCACGGACCTTCCTAAGACTCGTGATGGCCATACAGCGATCCTAGTGTTTGTGGATCGTCTGACAAAAATGGTGCATTTCGTGGCTACTACAACTGACGTATCCGCGGAAGATACGGCCAAATTGTTTGTGGCACAACGTTTTCCGCTTACACGGGTTACCACGTGTATTGGTGTCCGACCGGGATCCGCGCTTCACAAGCCGGTTCTGGCAAGAAGTCACACGGACACTAGGAACGAAGCTTAAGTTGTCATCGGCGTTCCACCCACAAACCGATGGGCAGACGGAACGAACAAACCGGACACTTGAGCAGATGCTTCGTTCATTCATTGGCCCAACTCAGGATGATTGGGACGAGTTGTTGCCTGTCGTTGAATTCGCAGTGAACAATTCAGTTCATGAAGGTACACGTGAGAAACCTTTCATTCTGAACTATGGTCGGCATCCCACAACGCCTGCTACGCATGGGATCGGCGGATTGAAAATTCCAGCCGCTAAAGACTTTGTTGGCAAGCAGCAAGAAGCGCTTAAGTCTGCTCGCCATTGGCTACAACTCTCTCAGCAGCGACAAAAGTCTTACGCCGACATGAAACACCGGGAAGTCTCGTTTGAGGTTGGAGACAAAGTTTTGTTAAGCACGAAGAACATTCGTCTCAAAATCCCTGGAGCACGAAAGCTGTTCCCTCGATGGATTGGGCCCTTCGAGGTGATCAAGCGTGTTGGTGTGGTAGCTTACAAGCTTAAGCTACCTGACACTTTACAGATTCACAACGTCTTCCATGTGTCTCTGTTGAACAAGTACGTTGCAGAGGGCAAGTACTTATCGCCACCAACGATCGTCCTGGGGGAGGAACTGTTTTATGAAGTCGAACGAGTGCTAATGCATCGTGATCGACAACGCGTCCGAAAGACAGTACGAGAGTTCCTCATCAAGTGGAAAGGCTATGGGCCTGAACACAACTCATGGGAGCTAGAAGAGCATCTGACTGAAACTGCAGTTCAGTCATACATGACAGACCTGGCTCGACGAGCTGCCACACAACCAGTGGAGGGCGTTGACCCTGGTCGTAATGTGACACGGCGTACTCGAAGCGCTCGTCCTCAGAAGCACCCTGAGGCAACGGGGACGTTGCCACCTAGGGGGGGAGGAGTGTAACGCATAACCTACTCTGCCTCATCTACCGCTAACTTCCTAAGTCAACATCGAGAGACTTCCTCGATGAGAAATGACGTGAAGGCAATCGGGAAGGTTGAGTTGGAGAAGAACATTGGTTTGGTTTTCCCAACCCTCAACCTTGAGGCTTGGAAACTTCCAACCCATCAAAGTGAAGATTGGAAAGGTTGGATTTCCAACCAATCAAGTTGTGCCAGTTGTTGTTACAATCCACACAAACTTAAAACAACCATACAATTGTGCTAAGTTGGGTTTTTTCCCAAACCAAACTATATTGCCACCTAGGCTCCAAGCCTATTAGCTCCCCAACCATGGAAGCCATGGTTGGGAAAAGCCCCAAGGGGTATGATGGAAGGGGTTGGAGCTCTCAAGCTCATTCCCACTTCCCAACTCCAACAATCTAACTTGGAAATGGGATTTTTACTCTAAGTCTTTTGGGTTCTCCTAATAAGCTCCCCTACACAACTAGACTTGTGATTTTTCAAGGACAAGCTCTACAAGAAGCTCCTACCTACTTATTAAAGCTTCATCAACCTTCTTCAAGCTCCCTTTTCTCCTCTCAAGCTTGAGGAGTACTGTTAAGGCTAAATTACCCCTTGGTGGGATTAGTTGATCTTGAAAGCCTTGTATCTTGATTTTATAAATGTTGTCAAGGGTGATTTATATTTAACACACGGTTGCCCGTTGTTATAAGGGCCGTGATTGTTACAGCACCAATGTCACTCACACAGAACATTCCACAGAAGACTTCATGCCATCTCACTCACACATACCATCCCAATGTCATCCCACATATCACTTCATGCCATCTCACTCACACACACCATTCCATGCTATCACATTCACAACCCAAACCACCACACATACCATCCAATGCCGTTACACAAGCTTCACTGACCAATATAGTGCCATCCCAGCACAGATTATTCCTTAACACTGCGCAAGGGATTATGCCTTTCTTACACAGTGCCCCACAGAGAGGTGCGCATCACTGCGGCAAATTCAAGGAATCTCGTCATGCACCCATGGCATGCCATGACCGTCCAGGTGTGTGCTCTGGTGTTGGGGTAGGTGTGTGGGATTCTTTGTGGGTTAGATGGAGGGAGGGCTGTTTTATTCAGGTGTGTGGGATGCCATGACCGGCCAGGTGTGTTCTCAGGTGGAGATGCTGTAGTATTGAGATAGGAGGCTTAGTTGGTCAAAGCCAGGGCATAGATGTTCTGAGCAAGATTTTTTTTTTTAATGTTTCTGAACCGCTATGTGTGTGTGCTTTTCAAGGAAACTGCTGTTATTATTTTAAAGTTCCGGTGTTTTTGTTGTTATGATCTCAGTTCCCATCCCATCCCATCCCATCCCATCCCATCCCATCCCATCCCATCCCATCCCATCCCATCCCATCCCATCCCATCCATCCCATCCCATCAATCAGCCCATTATATTACATCCCATCACATTCCATTCTCCATGAGTTGCCTCGCCTCAGCTGCTTACATCATTCACAGAAGTCCCGTTCTCTTCCTCTCACGATTTGCATACCATCTCAGTCGCCATTTGAGTTGCCTTTTCAGTTGCAATTTCAATTGCCCTTTCAGGTGCCATTTCTGTTTCCGTCTTGTAAAAATCAGTTGCCACCTGAGTTTCCATCGATGCTATTCTGGGTGCCAACCCAGGTGCGATCTCAATGGGCACTTCAGTTGAAATCTCAGGTGCAACTTCATTTGTATTTCAGTTGCCATTTCTGTTGCCATTTCAGCTGCAAATTTGAATTTCCATCTCACTTACCATTTCAGTTGCAATTTCTGTTGCCATCTCACTTGCTGGTTACCAGCAACATGCCCCTTTGGACTACTTGCTCTCTCTCGCCAACCTCTCAACCCCCTGCCCTCTTCATTAGCTTCCCTTCACTCAACCCCTCGCATTCTCTCCCTTGGATCTGCTGCTTCCGTACTCTCCCCTCCTCCCAACACCACTCCCCATACTCACTACTCTCTCATTCACTTCACTTCCCCAATTGGAAACGATTTCTTTACTCCAGAAACACTCTCTCTCCTTGCTCCCCTCCATCCAAGGTTCTCAGTCTCTTCACTCAACCCTATGCCTTGCATCTGCTATGTGACCCACCATGCACCCATGCACGCTTGCACCTCCACTCATGCACCCATCCACTCATGCACCCAACCACTCATGCACCCATCCACTCATGCACCCATCCACTCATGCACCCATCCACTCATGCACCCATCCACCCATGGACCCATCCACCCATGCACCCACACACCCATGCACCCACACACCCTTGCAGCATGCCCCGATGCACCCCATGAACCCATGTACGTATGAGATTCTGAGCTTCATCAATCCGCCCAATATCATGCTTCTGCTATGTGACCCTGAAACCATGCACCCATACACCCGTGCACCCATACACCCGTACCCATACACATGTGCACGATGTACCCATGCACCCATGCACCGATTGACCCATGCACCTATGCACCTATGTACGGTATACACGTATGCACACAAACACCCATGAATCCATGCACCCATTAATCCATGTACACACGTTCCAGTGCAGGTACGGTACAACAGGAGGTTTTTTAATCATGTACAGCAGCTGGGAGTTGTTCTATTCAAAAGCTATCAATGTACACTTCATGATTCTCTGGTTGGACCCTCTGCTCTCTAGATCTCGACCGACATACTGAGCCAATACTAAAATGACCCGTGTGTGTTGAACTACATTGGTTGTGACCCAAAGCTTTAGTGTGGTGACGCACCCTTGCGCAGTGTGGGCCTGCACTCTTATTGGCGAGCTGCACAGCTTATAGGCAGAAGAATGTTATTAAGCAATTTACTTTGAGATTACAATCTCCTAGAGGGAGGCATTAACATGTCATACTATAATACAGAGCACATACTAGTGCTTTTTACAAGTCATCACATATTCCCAACAGTAGCTGGAAGTTGTTAAATTAGTGTCACCATTGTTCCAGCACACTCTTCAGTGTTGTAACCATGTATGTTCTCATGCTGAGAGCAACCACTGCAACGGCGTCTCTTTCAGGAGCTCCTTCTGTGCGCCCTGCTGCTGCTGCTGCAGCCTGGCCTCGCCTGCCTCTCATGCACCAGACCCTCTCTCCTCCCCGCATGCTGCTTCACCCCCTCCCTGCCACACACGCCATTTTCCACTGCTCTGCCACCTGCCGCCTTCACACCACCCTGCCTTCCACCTGCTGCCCTCCCTGCCGCCTCCACTCCACACCCACATCCCTCTCTCCTCTTCACCCCACTCGTGTGCCTGCTGCTGGCATTGTCAGCAGCTCTCACTGATGATGATCCCGCAATTGCTGCTGCTGCTGCTGCTGCTGCTACAGACCCTGCATGCGTGCTGCTGCCCTTACCACCCTTCACGCCAGTCCTCACCGCCTTGCTGCTGCACCCATTCTTGCCCTTCACGGTTTTAACCCCCACCTTGCACCTTGCTGCAACAGCGGGACTCGACTCCTGTGCTGCTGCTACTGCTCCTCTCACTGGCGATGCCGCAGCAGGTGATTTCAGTGTTGTTGTTGCTGCTGGCGCGGGAGAAGCTGGTGCTGCGGACTCTGCTACAGTCGCTGCTGCTGCAGATGCAGGGGGGACGGTTTTGCCAGCCGCAATCCAGGCAGGCAGGGAAGCTTCAATGGCGGCTTCAATATCCCTGGCCCACGTCGCCTGGTCCAGCTTGGCCCATCTCAGGTAAGCAGCACGTGCTCTCAAATTTTTGGCCCACTCACAATCCACAGCCCCACTCACTGCTGATGCCACAGCAGGTGACTTCACTGCTGCAGCTGCTGCAGAGGGAGCAGCTGGTGGTGCAGGCTCTGCTACACTCCATGCTGCTGCAGATGCAGGAGCAACAATTTTGCCAGACACGATCCAGGCAGGCAGGGAAGCTTCAATGGCGGCTTCAATGTCCCTGGCCCACGTCGCCTGGTCCAGCTTGGCCCATCTCAGGTAAGCAGCACGTGCTCTCAGTTTTTTGGCCCATTCACTATCCATTGCTCGAACCTCCTGACGCAGCTTAGACCACCTCGCTTTCTCACTCGGATCAGCAACACGTGCACACGCCTCCTCGGATATTGTTTCTGTGGGCACCTGTGGTGTTGTTGAGGCCACTGGAGCCACAGGCGCTACCTCAGGCACCACCACAGGCGCAACCACAGCAGATGGAGTGACTGCAGTAGCAGCAGATGGTGTGGGAGCAGCTGTGACAACCAAAGGTGCAAGCACGGCAGCAGCAGGCTTGCCTCCGAAGCGGCCAATTCCAGGCCGCTTCACATCAGGCGCGTCAGGTACAACGTGCACCTTGGCGGGCTTGTGTTGCCCGTCAGAGACGCCTTGGAAGGCCAGTTTCTCCAGCAGCGGTCTCACGCTCTTCAGGAGCACGCTGCTCCAGCACGTCTCACCGTCACCATTGCAAGCAGCAGGCTTGGCAGTAGAGTATCTTACAGGCGAGAAAACGGTTCGCGGGGTTCCAAACCTGCCAATGCCTCTCGTAGGCGTTGCAGGATTGCTCGCGGTTTGAGAAACAGAGTTAATATCGACGAGAGAGGCCATGTTACTTGACTGCAGATCGCTGAACAGAAGCTGATCGTTGGACAAAGGCTGAACTTCGAGAAGTTTGTTCACTGCAGATTGAGATAACGGCAGAAGAAGTGGGAATGATAAGTTTCAACTCTGGCGACCCCATTTCTGCACTCCGTCCTCGCCTGCTCGAACCCCCCCGTCTCCACCCCCACATGCCTTGTCTGCCTGAACATCGGAGTTCCAGCCTTGGCCTGCTTTGCTGTCTACTCGTACGCATGCCACGTGTCGGAAATCGAACGGTAGGAGATGAAGCAGCAAGGTGTGCGGACGGATCTCAAGGCGTATTTCGCTGGGGTTCAGGTTCGGGATCTCGATGGCGCCGCGTCAGGGATAATAAGCGGGGGTGGGAGGTTCGGGGAGAACCTGTCGGTGTCGGTGGGTTTCAGGTCCTTGAGTACCTCGAGTCGCCTCGCCAGTTTCCCGCCTTTATTTTGTTCTCGATTTCTTCCCTAGCCGTTCCTACGAAATTTGTTACAACAAACCGTTTGGATACGATTTTCGGTAAAAAACTTCGCACAACGATAACGCGACGGGTCTATCGGTTTCCTCTCGTAGCATGGTGTGTGAGGCAGAAGGGTTTGGGCCGTGCTGTGCTACTGAGGACGCGGTGAAAGTGGAGAATCGATCGACAGGATCGTTTTCTAGCGCGGTTATAAAAGGTTGTGTACCTTTTTTGTCCAAAATGCAAGGTTCCGTGCGGTGACCGAATCGATACCCCCGATCGATGGGGAAGCGAGTCCCTTTTCCAGTGGATACTGTGGAGTCCTCTTTATATGCAGTCGTCTTATCATTCAGGGGGAATTCAGTTCGAAATGCTTAGGTCGGATACACGGATTTTGGATTCATCGGATTTCTATCTGCGAGGTTCGATACACCGATTTTGGAATTTGGAATGTGCTTGATCATCGCTTTGTCTGTGCGGTACAAAGCGATGTCAAGTGTTGTTCGCGGTTTACGAGGGCAGTCAGGCGTGATCGGTCGGAGGTCGGAGCAGCCAGCCATGATACGAATGTGAATCACAAGCAGTCACGAGAGCAGAGCACCATGCAGGCGATTACGAGCCCGCAGGCGATAACGAGCGTGCAGGCGATTACGAGCGCGCAGCGCGCCAGAGATTACGAGCGCGTAAGAGATTACGAGCGCAGAAGCGATTACGATCGCAGAAGCGATTACGAGCGCAGAAGCGATTGCGAGCACAGGAGAGAATTACGAGCCTTGGTTACGAGTAGGAATTGAAGTAATCGTACAAGCGATCTCAAGACAACCGTTTCCAGGGTTTCACTTTCAAAATGCGGGTTTCACGCTGCAGTCCCGCCGTTCATGCAGGCGGGACTATGCGAACTCTCAAGCAGCCCTCAGCATTAGCCGTCTCCCAGCCGGAGCGTGGCCGTCATGTCCAATTTGATCGCGTCCGAGCCTAAGACCCTAGCCCAATCAGATCGCCCCAACCGACTCGCAGGCTTGAAATGAGGGTGAGCGCGCGACGAGGTGAGCGGGCGAAGACGGGAGTGCAGATATCAGGACGGGCGGACGGAACGGAAGGAGCCGAAAAAGGAGGAGGAGGGAAGATGCGAGATAGAGAAGAAGGTTTGAGAGCAAAGGTCGCAAAAGGGGAAGAAAGGGCGGAGCGGAAGGAGCGGAGAAGGCCTTGGCTTGGATGCGGCGGAAAACTCAGAGGGGATGGAGGGAGGGATGCCAGCAGTTGTGGATTGGCCGTTGCTTCAGTTCCCAGCGCCCTCTCCCTCCTGTCGTGCTTTCATGCTGACGCGGTCGCTGACGTGGCGGCTGACGTGGCACGTGAGACAAGGGAAAGTGGCAGGGTTGCGCGGAGGGAAGTGCTGGCACGATGGCGGCATTTGCGCAGGCAGATCTAGTGGTCAGTTTGGTGCGCAGGCAGCACAAGCCAGTGGTGCGGAGCCTACGCGACATGAAACCTTCTGGGAACTTTCTCAAGTGGTGAGGCGGTTTTGGAAGGTGAAGGGGGGAGAGGGGGGAGCGAGGGAGGCAGTGCACTAAGGGCTCCTTTGCATAGGAGGGCTGTTGCAGTGATGGGAGGGAGCGAGAGAGTTGCGAACCAACAAGAAGCGCTCACGAATTGCGATTTCCGGGTGGTTGTGATTTGCGTTTGTGTCTTGAGGTCTGCTGACATCATGCCGACATCATCTGCTCCATTTGACATCAACGTGATGTGATCTGAAGTCAGGTCCTCTCCTGCATGCTCACATGCTCATGCATGCGATCCAAACACGTGCGCTGCACATGTTAACATGCATGTTACATACACATGGCATCACATGAAGCGGTACATGCATGTAACTCACATGCCCTCCACCCACAGCACCCTCCCTCACCCACCTCAACCTCCCTCGCTCACCCTCTCCTTCCCTCCCCTCCCCGCGCACCTCTCCCTTGCTTTTCGCCCTGCCCCTCCTCTCCGTTTCATCATCTCCCCCATCCCCTCCCATTCTCCCCCATCCCCTCCTATTTTCCCCCATCCCCTCCCATTCTCCCTCATCCCCTCCCATTCTCCCCCATCCCCTCCCATTCTCCCCCATCCCCTCCCATTCTCCCTCATCCCCTCCCATTCTCCCCCATCCTCGCCCCCCCTGCCCTCGGCACCCTTCGTTCGTGTCAGATGCGCCGCCTCCTGCAGTGACTTGGTGTGCTGTGCTTCTCTGCCAAGTAACGCCATGCCAACAGCTGGTATGTCGGCTCAGCTGCTGCTGTGCCATGCCATGCCGCTATGCCATGCCATGCTGATATGCTGCTGTGCCATGCCATGCTGCTATGCTGGTATGCCACATGGTGTGTTCCCTTGCCTGTACAACTGTCGCCTGGAAGCCACGAGCGATGTCCACACATCATCATCATGTCCTGCGCCCACTGCTTCATGCCATCTCACACGACATGCCATGCCATTGCACAAGCCATTCTTGGTAACGGATTGTTAAGTCTTTACCGTATTTGCTTACTGATGATTCTCTATCTAGATCTGTTACCGCACTTCTGATATACTCACTAAGATGGATAGAACAGTGATGCTGTCCTAACAAACAAAGATCGATGTGCACATGTTCTGCTCAAATAATTTCCTATTACTCACATTTTGGAGATCGTACCTGCTTAATGTTCTCGATTCGAATGATTCCTGACGTTTCATAAGGAATATCAAGTCCCAGAAGGATGGTGAAGCCTCATTAATCATTATAGACAGCACATTGCTTGTAGTTTTGATTTTTGCCCTTTGTTTGTTTGTTTGATTTTTTTTCCCATCCCTCAAATTTGTTGCTTCTGCCATCCGCCCTTGCTGCGCCTGTCATCCCTTGCTGCTCACCCCATCCTTCCCCCCCATCCCATTCCCCCTCCTTCTCCTCCTCCCATTCCCCATCCTTCTCAGCCTCTTCTCCCAACCGCCGCTGCTCATTCGCCAAGCACTGGCCACTGCCAAGCTGCCACATGAGCAGCCCTTACTGCTGTGGTGTCGCCATGTGCTCAGGGTAACGCCACGCATTGGCACGTGGGCAGCATCCCACCTCCCCAATTGCCATAAGTGTCAACCAAGTCGTTGCTTCTCCCCAAATCTTGTTTGTTCTTGTTTTTACCAGGAGTGTGTTTTGTTTGTTTTCATCTAATCTTTCGTATTCATTCTGGGTGAAGCTGGTGATGCAGGTCCTGTCCCCTTTCCCCCCTCGCGCCTTGTATAACTGTAGGCATCCAGGTGAACCCCACCGCAAGCTTCCAGAAGGACCTGGGGCCAGAATCTCTAGACGGAGTGGATGTGATGATTCCATTCCTGCCCCTTCCCCGCCTCATGCCTTGTGTAACTGTGTAACCGTGCTGCCCCCGATGCAGGTGACCCCCACGGCGAGCTTCCAGAAGGACCTGGGGCTGGACTCGCTAGACGGGGTGGAGGTGGTGATGGCGTTTGAGGAGGAGTTTGCTGTCGAGATCCCCGATGCCGATGCCGATAAAATCCAATCTTGTGCCGATGCCATCGCTTACATTGCATCGCACCCACAGGCCAAGTGATGCGTGCATGCGCATGAAACAGTGCCTTGATTAATTAGGTCTGTTGTTCATGTAAAGTGGCTTAAAAGAAACTTGTCTGTCTACCGAGGATGCAATTAGTAGCTGATGGGAGTTGTGACATTGTCACATCGCCACCGTAATACCCCGGATATAAGCGCACCTGCGCTTATAATAAAACAGTGTTTTTTGGGGGGGTGCGCTTATAATTGAGTCAGATTTATAAGCGCATGCGCTTATATAATAACAAATGCAAATTTATAATTCATTGGCACCAAACTGTACATATCCTTCTTGTGATTTCAATCGAATCGAAGTGGTAGCGAGTCGCAATTCAGATTCGCGCGTGAGCGATTTTCTGCCGGCGCACAGAGGAAAGGTTACACGTCACTATCAGAAATGCCAGCTCATACTGACTGGACGCGCAGTATGTGAGGTCCTCGAAAGTCAATCGAAGCGAAAATAGTTGTATCCTCACTGCAAAATTTGAAATCGCTACCGTTTTAATCTGGTTTAAATTTTAGAATTATACGTGCGCTTATAATAAATCAAGGTTTTACAGGGGGTGCGCTTATAAATGAGGATCGGCCATAAGCGCATTGCTCCAGATACAAGCGCATGCACTTATAATAGGCCTGCGCTTATATCCGGGGCCATACGGTATTGATAACATATAGATTACTGCTAGTAAATTTTATCTAAACTCCTGTGATGCGATGACTCAGGGCACCTAGGGGGCGTACCAGACAACAGAATTATACCTGCATTGTACAGAGAGGAAGAAACCGAGTCATTCTAGCTGTGTTTATGTTTGCTGATTTGCACTCATCTCACATGCCATACCAGAGTGGGTATCCTGAACTAAACAATAAAATATGCAAGTACGATACCTTGTAAAAAAAATGAGTGAACCTAAATTGGTGTGCGAAACACCCATCCCATTCCGTCCAGGAAATCAGGTCACAGATGGTCAATGCCAGCGACACTCTCCATTCGGTGCTCGATTGTCCCATTAAGGTTCTAGAAGACACGTCAGATCCTTTCAGCCCTACCTTTCAGAGATCTGACGTGCCACTATTGGTGACAAAAACAAGGCCACGCGGCTGGCATTTGTCGCAGGAATGAAGCCGAGAATCCACCGTGGCGCCTCGGTTAGGCAGCCACGTCTCACGATGTATTTCTGCTTTCATTCTGGTATCGAGCTTCCGACCCGCTCGACAGTCGGTTTCGATTGCGGCTTGGCAAGCGGATAAATTCACCCGCTCGTATCGCTCCAATTATTCCAGTGCGATCACCTGCCTACCAATCTTCTTAATTGCTTTCTCTCCGTCTCACGTCTCTCGTCATCACATTCTCAATTTTTATCACAATGGCTTCCTCCCTCGTCGCACAGCATTCTCTCGCCGCGCTTTCCTTCAGCACAGCAGTGAAGGGAGCTTCTCTCTCCGCCAATCGCGTAGCAGTAGCTCCCATCGTCGCTCCCCGCGGCCTTGGCGTGACAGCCCTCCTCCGTTTCAACAAGGCCGCCATCCCCGCTAAGACCGTTCCCGCTAAGAAGCAACTGCGCACCGAAGACGGCATCTTCGGCACATCCGGCGGTTTCGGCTTCACGAAAGCCAACGAGCTCTTCGTGGGGCGCGTGGCGATGCTCGGATTCGCCGCGTCGCTGCTGGGCGAGGCGGTAACCGGGCAGGGAATCCTTTCGCAACTGAACCTGGAGACGGGCATCCCCATCACGGAAGCCGAGCCGCTTCTGCTCTTCTTCATCGCATTCACCGTGCTCGGCGCCATCGGCGGGCTGGGCGACCGCGGGCGATTCGTGGACGACGAGGCGCCGGCGGGTCCGCCGGTGAAGCCGGGGAGCGTGAAGGCGGCGCTGGGGTTGAGCGAGGAGGGGCCGCTGTTCGGGTTTACCAAGGCGAACGAGCTGTTCGTGGGGCGCATGGCGCAACTGGGGTTCGCGGCGAGCCTGGTGGGCGAGGTGATCACCGGGCGAGGCGCGCTGGCGCAGCTGAATATCGAGACTGGCTTGCCCGTGTGGGAGCTGGAGCCGCTGCTGCTCGCCAGTATCGCCTTCTTCTTCATCGCCGCTATCAACCCCGGTACAGGGAAGTTCATTAACGATGACGAGTAGAGCATCTCGCATCATTTGTAAATAATATACCGTTATGCTTTGCTTTCTGTCATGTACACAATTAGTGTATTCAAACAAATAGTATTCTCATTTGACACATGGACTAGCTGACCGGCGAACATGAATGAACTGCTGGTGAGTGATCAGTAACCCACATCATCCCATCCCGTCTCACATTCAATCCTATGATATTCCACCCACCGTTTAATCACATCACAACCTCCGTAACAGTAATGCACACGAGCCATTCGGTTGTGTAGGTAGTATATCTCCGGTTATGGTTTGTAATGACGCGTTGAAATCTCTAGTTGGTTCACAAACTGAGGGCCGAGGGTGAAACATGACAAATCTGCTTCGGAGGGATTTTGAACGGTTGGCATCCTTGCCCACATCAAACCATCTCACTCTCATACACCACCCCATGCAATCACCCGGTCCATAGCATGCCATATCAGTTACTTAACATCCGATGCCATCACACACAGAGCATTTCATGCCGTCGGACTCACACACACCATGCCATACCCCCACACAGCCCATATCAGGCCATCTCATGCACACGGTCCATTATCCATACCATGCCATCATACGGCAAAATCCATGCCAACTCACTCACACACCATCCCATACCATCACACGGACGATTTCATCCCATCTCACTAACACACACCATCCGGTGCAGTCACTCATTTTGTGTAATGCGATCTCACTCACACATACCATCCCCCACACAGTCCCATACAATCACTCACACCATCACATACCACCACACACATCCATATCACTCACACACCATCCCACGCAATCACTCACACCATCCCATGCAATCACTCACACCATCCCATGCAATCACTCACACCATCCCATACAATCACTCACACCATCCCATACAATCGCTCACTCACACCATCCCATACAATCTCACACCATCCCATGCAATCACTCACAACATCCCATGCAATCACTCACACATTTTAATGCCATAACACAAACCTTCAACTGACCTGATAGAATCCTTCTTGACTCTTATGTCACACGCACACCATCCACCCACGCCACAGTGCGCAAGATGCTGCCTTGGTCCCACAGTGTTCCTCAGAGAGGTGCGCGTCAGTGGGCCCCACAGAGAGGCCCCCACCAGGGTGGCACTATCAAGGTCCCCCAGGTGATGGGGCAGGTGTGTGCCATATGATGGGGCAGGTGTGTGCCATATGATGGGGCAGGTGTGTGCCATATGCTGGGGCAGGTGTGTGCCATATGATGGGGCAGGTGTGTGCCATATGATGGGGCAGGTGTGTGCAGAGGTGGTGGAGGGGCTGTTGCATTGAGCTAGGTTGGACGCCTAGTCAGTCCACAGCAATGGCATCGCACGTGTCACCAAGCTTGGAAGCCCATTCCATCCCATCCCATCCCATCCCATCCCATCCCATCCCATCCCATCCCATCCCATCCCATCCTATCCCATCCCATCCCATCCCATCCCATTCCATCCCATCCCATCCCATCTCATCCCATCCCATCCCATCCCATCCCATCCCATCCCATCCCATCCCATCCCATCCCATCCCATCCCATTCCATCCCATCCCATCCCATCCCATCCCATCCCATCCCATCCCATCCCATCCCATCCCATCCCATCCCATCCCATCCCATCCCGTCCCGTCCCACCCCATCCCATCCAATCCCATCCCAACCATTCCTAACCCAACTGTTGCCGTGTCAGGTTAAAACTCAGTTGCCATCTCAATTGCCATGTCATTTGCCATTTCACTTGCCGTTACAGTTGCCGTATCAATTGCTGTCTCGGTAGCTATTTCAGTTGTATTTATGTTGCCTACTCAATTGCCATTCCACATGCTATTCTAATTTACTTCTCTGTTCACAATCAATCTTTCCATCTCAATAGCCTTCTCAATGGCCATGCTAGTTGAAATCTCAGTTTTCATCTCAATTTCCATTTCAGTTCCCATCTGATGTCTCACTTGCCACCTTAGTTGCCATTTCGGATTACATAGCACTTGTCATCTGAGCTGCCATTTCATTTGTCGTCCCACTTGCCATCTCCGTTACTTCCTGCTTGCCAGTCGCTACCTGCTTGCCAGTTGCTACCTGCTTGCCAGTTGCTCCCTGCTTGCCAGTTGCTACCTGATTGCCAGTTGCTACCTGCTTGCCAGTTGCTACCTGCTTGCCAGTTGCTACCTGCTTGCCAGTTGCTACCTGCTTGCCAGTTGCTACCTGCTTGCCAGTTGCTACCTGATTGCCAGTTGCTACCTGCTTGCCAGTTGCTACCTGCTTGCCAGTTGCTACCTGCTTGCCAGTTGCTACCTGCTTGCCAGTTGCTACCTGCTTGCCAGTTGCTACCTGCTTGCCAGTTGCTACCTGCTTGCCAGTTGCTACCTGCTTGCCAGTTGCTACCTGCTTGTCAGTTGCTACCTGCTTGCCAGTTGCTACCTGCTTGCCAGTTGCTACCTGCTTGCCAGTTGCTACCTGCTTGCCAGTTGCTACCTGCTTGCCAGTTGCTACCTGCTTGCCAGTTGCTACCTGCTTACCAGTTGCTACCTGCTTGCCAGTTGCTACCTGCTTGCCAGTTGCTACCTGCTTGCCAGTTGCTACCTGCTTGCCAGTTGCTACCTGCTTGCCAGTTGCTACCTGCTTGCCAGTTGCTACCTGCTTGCCATCTCCGTCACCTTTGTCTTGCCAGTCGCTGCCTGCTTGCCATCTCACTTGTTCCTTCACTCCTCATCAGCAGGGAAGCTGGCCACCAGCAACTCACCCATGTGAATCGCTCTCTTCCTCTCCAACCTCCCAACCTTCTGCCCTCTGCTTCCCTTCATTCACCACCTCCCGTTCTCTCCCATAACTCTGCTGCTTTCGTTCTCTCAGGACCTCCCAACACCATACTCACCCCTCTCTCACTTTCTTCACCTCCCCATTTGAGAAACTATTTCTTCATCCCTGAAACACCCCTTGCTGCCCTCCATCCGAGGTCCTCTGTCACATCACTGAACCCCATGCCTTGCATCTGCTATGCGAACCATGCACCCATGCACATATGCACTCTTGAACCCATCCACTCAGGCACCATGGGCCCGCACACCCATGCACTGACACACATGCACCCATACGCCTATGCACCACACCCATCCACCCACACACACATACATCTATGCACTCATTCATCCATGCACCTATCAATCAACTCATGTAACCATGTATACACATTCATGCACATTCACGCACATGCAGGCACAGATGGAAGTTAGTGTCAAGATGTTTAACACAACAGGTGGGGGCTGTTCTGCTCACAAGCTATCAATCTACACCGCATGATCCTCTGGCACCCTCTGCTCTCAAGGTCTCGATCAACATAAAACGATCCGGCACCAAATCAAGGTCTCGAAATGGTGCCCTGCTTTAGTGTGCCGCTGCAATCTTCCTGGTGAACTGCACTTCTGCCACCCAGATGAAACACAGATTTTGAAATGCAATTTATTAGCAAATTACATGTACTAGCATTTTCTACTAATATACAGTGTGCATAGTGCTACCTACAGGGCTACAGGTCATCACATATTCCCAACAGCAGCTGGGAGTTGTTCCATTGTCACCACACCATTGTTCTAGCACACCCTTCAGTGTTACACCCATGTATGTACAGCCCATATTCCTCCGGAATGTTCTCATGCTGAGAGCAGCCACTTCTATGCCGGCGCTTTCAGGAGCTCCTTCTGTGCGCCCTGCTGCTGCGGCAGCCTGGCCTGACCTCCCTCTCATCCACCAAACTCTCTCTCCTCCCCGCCTGCTGCTTCACCCCCTCCCTGCCACACACGCCACTTGCCACTGCTCTGCCACCTGCTGCCTTCACACCACCCTGCCTTCCACCTGCTGCCCACCCTGCTGCTCCCTCCCCACACCCACCCTCCTCTCTCCTCTTCACCCCACTCGCGTGTCTGCTGCTGGCCTTGCCAGCTGCTCTCACTGATGATGCACCACCACGTGATCCCACAACTGCTGCTGCTGCCGCACATGGGGCAGATCTTGCATGCATGTTGTTGCCGTTACCACCCTTCACACCCATGATCACCACCTTGCTGCTGCACCCATTCTTGCCCTTGGCCCTTTCAACCCCCACCTTGCACCTTGCTGCAACGGCAGGCTTTGGCTTCTGAGCTGCTGCTGAAGCTTCTCTCACTGGTGATGCCACAGCAGGTGATTCCTCTGTTTTTGTAGCTGCTAGCGAGGGAGCAGCTGGTGCTGCGGACACTGCTACAGTCGCTGCTGCTGCAGATGCAGGAGGCATGGTTTTGCAAGTCCGATTCGCCACAGCAGTAGGATTCTTGGGCACGAAGCAGGAACGCAGGGCGGCTTCAATGGCCGCTTCAATCTCCATGGCCCATGATGCCTCCTTGCTCAGCTTGTCCCACCTCAGGTAAGCAGCACGCGTCATCGCAATATCCATGGCTTTGACCTCCTGACGCAGCTTCGACCACCTCGCTTTCTCACTCGGATCAGCAGCACGTGCACTCGCCTCCACGGATATCGTTTCTGTGGTCACACGCGCTTCAGGCACCTGTGGTGTGGTTGAAGCCACTGGAGCCACAGGCGCTACCTCAGGCACCACCACAGGCGCAACCACAGCAGACGGTGTGACGGGAGCAGCAGCGACGACCACAGGTGCAAGCACGGCAGCAGCAGGCTTGCCTCCGAAGCGGCCGATTCCAGGCCGCTTCACGTCAGGTGCGTCAGCTACGTGCACCTTGGCGGGCTTGTGTTGCCCGTCAGCAGCGCCTTGGGCCAGTTTCTCCAGCAGCGGCCTCACGCTCTTCAGAAGCACGCTGCTGCAGCACGTCTCACCGTTGTCGGTGCAAGCAGCAGCCTTCACAGGAGAGTACGCTGCAGGCGAGAACACGGTCCGAGGGGTTCCGAACCTGCCAATGCCTCTGGTTGGCGTTGCAGGACTGCTCGAGGTTTGAAAAGCAGAGTTAGCAGAGAAGTTATCAGCATAGAATGCCATTTTACTCGGCTGTTAGGAAGTCGTCTGACAAAGGCTGATCGCTGGAAGGTGTTTAACAATAAGGTCGTTAGCTGATGCAGAGGTAGCAGAGTAGAGATGCCTTTATTCAAGTTTCCAATCCAACACGGAAATCTCTGAGAAGTTGAGAATGATTAGATCCAACCGTAGGGACCCCATTTCTACTGCACTCCGGCCTCGCCCGCTCAGACCCTCATCCCCACGCCCGCAAGCCTCGTCTGCCTGACCATGAAGTTCCAGCCTCGCCCTGTCTCGCTGTCTACTCGTTAGCGTGCCACGTCACACGAATCGAACGGTGGGAAAACAAGCATCGAGGCGTGTGGACGGATCTCAAAGCGTCTTTCGCTGGGGTTCAGGTTCGGGATTTTGGTGGAACCGCGTCAGGCGAAATCAGCGGGGTGGGAGGTATGGGAATGTTCTCTCGGTGTCGGTGAGTTTGAGGTTCGTGAGTACGTCGAGGCGCAGCAGTTTCCCGCCACAGTTTTTATAGCCGTTTTTTGCGAAGCTATTGTTGCAACCGTGCTAAAAGGCAGACGACTGTTCGCAGAAGCCTTTCGCAACGCCATCGTACATCGCCATGAAAAGGGTTTCCCGGGATTGTCGCAGTGGCTCAGCAAACGGAGGGCTGTGTATTCTCACAGCTCAGGCGCTAGATTCAAATCAGCAACCTTCGGGATTGCCGCCTTTGTGCTTCAAACGGGCAAACAAGCTTTGCAATTTCCTCTCTAAAAGGTTTCTGTTCGTTTTGATGGAGACATGGTAAAGCTGGATTTGAGTGATTGACAAGTCCTTGACCTTGAACACAATAACTTTGTAAGAAACCATGTGATTCATCATAAGGGAGCTTACCATTTGTCAAGGTACCTCAAATCCTCTAGAAAATTATTAGCTTCGTACCCAGTAGGAATGTTGATTGCTCATATAGATCACCCCGTTTAGATAAATCGCATATCATGATATGCGACAAATCGCATATCATGAATGTGGTGTTGGATAGTCTAGCAGAGAATGGAGGTGAAAAATACCAATACATGCCTTATTTGATAGAAAAGTGCGTGCATAGCCATTTTGAAGGGTATCAAACTTTGGGGTAACACGATATTAGACTCATATAAGGTATCAGAACATTTCGAACTCCCACTTGCACAAGTTTGTTTTCTATCAACATTCTCCAAACGGAGAGTGCACAACGGTGTATTGCACATTGGGTGGCGCATTGAGCGTCGCACGTCGGCCGCCTCCAGCATGTCTCCCAAATCTGACTGTTCATTTCGTAATGAACGACGTTGCGACCAATTATATTTTCTGGCTAGATGTTTTGCTTGTGCTTAGGAACAGGACCCTAGATTCGTTTTGGGACACGCTGATGGGTCAGAGTGCACCCTTCTCTAAACGCTGTCATTCAGAGTTTGTTCCAACTTTGAGTCTGGAAATTCAGACAACACTAGATTTTTTTGGCTGATAGTACAGCGTTACACTGCTAAGTTTGAAGGCTGAGTCCTTTATACTGCACCGGAAAATCATTTCAACTATCTCACTCAGATTCTATCACATGTGACTCTACTGCTGCCCGCTGAACTACTGGTTCCTCTACAGCCTCCTTCCCAGCTCTTTGGGGCTCCCTGTGTCTTGCAACAGGTGCTGTCACTGGCCGGCGCTTCTTATACTGCGCCAAATCTCTACAACCCCCGGCACGTCCAGCTCATAGTCTAGCATAGACATACACAGCAAGTCACTGGTCTTTTAAACTGCCCCTCTGCCACGTCTTGATGAGATTCTGTCTAGAGAATCCTCTCTCGCACTCGACGGTGCTGAGAGGCAGCACTGCAATCGCCACCCAGAGTCTGACGAGGTTGGGGTATGCTTGTTGTCAGTCAGGTGTCTTGAGGATTGCAGTCAGTCCCGTGTTGAACTTGCGCTCGCTCTTAGGAGCTCTGGCCAGGACTGGGCACAGGGTCCGCAGCTCCTTGACGGCACGCTTCTTGTCAATGCCTGCAAGTTTAGGGTAAGGCGTGGGATTAGTAAAGGACGGGACGACAACGGTCGAACGAGCATCACATTATGAACTCACCTGGCAGGATCCCGTCACAGTCGTCGGCGCGGAACAGAGTGACTAGCGACAACAGCCACTCAAGGCACTGTGCTTGCCGTGCGCTCCTCTCCCAATTCGGAGGCCACTCGTCAGGAATGAAAAGCCGCACGCCAGAAAGGGTGTCGAGGTCGCCGAGCTTAGACAGGAGCTCTTCGACGAGGCCCTCGGCAAAGTCGGTGCAGAGCGCCACACACGCGTCGTGATGGCCCGCCCCGAAATAGTTCGCCACTTTGCGCTTGTGCAGGGTGATCTTGAAGCGGTTGAGACTCCCATCCGACGACAAGCTAGGTGGAGACTCCCATCCAGGTGGAGCATTCGGTGGAACATGACTCGGTAAACATGATCTAAGAGAGTCCATGCCGGTCAAAGCGTCTGAAGCAGGGCGACGATCGGTATCGTCATCATCGTTGGGCGCTTCGGGGGCAGCGTCTGTGGCTGCCATTGAGTCTCCCAAGCACTAGTTTTGCTAGGGCGAGGAGAGAGAGCCTGAAGCAAGGGTTCCAGCACTAGTTTTTGGCGAGGAAATTGAATGAAGCGAGAGAGACAGGGCACCGAGTGACCCCTACGAAGGGCGACGATGAGGAACATGAGAGGTCCTCGTATTTGGACCGCTCATCTCCCTTGTGGTCACTACATGCACGACATCTGGTCGTGTGTGCAGGGAAGGTGGGGTGAGTGGGGTGGATAGATGTGGTCACGTGAGAGTTGCAGCACGCTGCGAGCTATGCGTTGGCAAGGAGGACGGTGGCCGGGGGTGGATGGTTATGGTGTTGTCCGGGTGCAGCGCGCTGTGAGCTATGCGTTGGCAAGGAATCTTGCCAACATTGCCTGCTGCGCTGCCGTGGTTGGCTGGAATTGAGCCAGATTACAACAATCCTGGCCCAATGGAACTGTGTGGTGCCGCGCTCGGGAAATGTTTCGTTTCCCGCCCCTGATTGACGACGTTAGTGCAACACAACGCCAGGCTGGCGGAAACCCCTGTAGTACCCGTTTCAGAGTGCACCCCCGAAACATGGTTGAGGCTTAGCCTACACCCAAAAAATTTGTCTGAAATTACAGCCACTACACAAAAAAAATATCTGAAAAATCAGAGAAGGGAAATAAAAAAAACTTACAGTTCAGACCAGGTAAAAAAAAAAAGCCTGAATGGACTCTGAATCGGCATAAAAAGTCTGATATCTAGGGCACTGCTTGGGAACAAGCGCGCGCCCGACCCGAGGCTCGATACGCTTCTTCAACGCACAAAATCTGCTAACAACCGCAGTTGCTTCACCTCCATAAAATACCTTTCACGTGTTTCCATTCCGAAACTGTTTCTCGCCTGCTCCGTTTAGAAGCAACATTGAGTGCTCTAGTGTGAACTTCCTGGGAGCAAGCTTGCATAACTTGCATCGTGCAGTAAAAAAATCACTCTGCACGGGCTCGAGAAGGGAATGGCGACGACAACGCGGGACGTTGAGTTGCGGCTCGTGAACGGCGTGCTCAAGGTGCAGCTGGAGGAGATGGCTCGCAGCGTGGGGGAGCGCGTGGTGGCGTTGGAGGCGCAGCTGAGGGAGCAAAGCGACGCCATGGCTGCCGTGCAGCGTGACATGGTCGACATGCGCCGCGCACTAGCCCACCTGAAGGGGATGGCGGCGACGGGTGCTTCCGCGGAGGGGGCGGAAAAAGGGAGCGCTTCGAGGGAGGCAGCGGAGTGTATTCGCGCGCAGCCGTCGAACGGAGCACAGGAAAACAGTTTTGTGTCAGAATATTATAGCTTACTTATTTGTGTAGGCTATAGTGGGGTATCCCATAGGGGGTACAACCCAACTAGGGTTTCCTATTTGTACTCACTTCATTCGTAGTCATTTCATTCACGTTCCTTTTTTCACATGGAATCAGAGCAGGTCCCATCCTAGGGACTGTTCTTTAGGGCCCACCGAAGCGCGCCCGAGGCGCGCGCCTTTTTTTTTTAGCGACCCTCCGAGTCGCCCTGTTCCTTCACGGCCCCGCCGCCCTACTTCGCGGCCCGACCGCCGCCCTACTCGCGACCCAGCCGCCGCCCTACCTTAGCCTCCCTGACTCCCTTCGTGTAGTCCAGGACCACTTCCTCGCGGTCTGTCCCACCACCCTCACAGTCGACGGCCTCGAGAAGGCCCTCCTTGCAGCAGAGAAGAGCATAGTTGCTGTAGGAGCCTCTCGATGTGACCCCCGCGCCCCCATCTTTGAGGGGTGTTCTCCTTCCCCTCTCCTGCCCTCTGTCGCCTCTGCCGCTGCGGCCGACCTCGTTGGTCTTGAGTCGGTCGGTGCGGCGTCTGCCCCTAGCGGGAGACGCCGCTCTGGCAAGGGCAAGGGGGGCAAGGGAGCGGGTGGGGCCAGTGGGGGCGGTGGCGGTGGAGGTGGAGGCGGCGGAGGGAGTGGGGGTGGCGGTGGAGGTGGTAGCGGGGGTGGGGGTGCTAGTGGCGGCAGTGGAGGCGGGAGTGGCGGCGGCGGTGGCGGTGGTAGCGGAGGTGGCGGAGGCGGGGGCGGTGGAGGCGGAGGCGGGGGTGGCGGAGGTGGAGGTGGTCGGAGTGGAGCTTCGCAGCGGAGCGGCACTGGTGGCGGTCAACGCCAGCAGCAGCAGCAGCAGCAGCAGCAGCAGCAGCGTTCTCGCGACGTCCCCACCCCTCAGCAGCTCCGTGAGTGCTACACGCATCGTCAGCGCGGTGGGGGTTTTGGTCCCTGCACCTACGTTCTCCGCACTGGCGACCGCACTGGAGAGCAGTGTGGGGGTGCCCACCCCGCCCAGCGCTGCTTTGGCCGCCTGACGGACGCTTGGCGTCAGCAGTTCCCGGAGGCCGCGGAGATCCCCCGCTGGGGAGAGCTGTCTAGGGCTGGTGTAGCTATCTTTGATCTTGATTTTGATGCTATCCTTGCTGCAATGTATGCTGTGACCATTAGTGATGAGGGTGACTGTTACCGGTGTTTCCCGCCCGACCCGGGCATTGGTACTGCTGCTCCAGGTGCCGGTGAGGTTTCTGCTCTAGGTGCCAGTGCGTCTGTGCTCTCAGGTGCTCGTGAGACTGCTCTCTCAGGTACTAGTGCGTCTGCGCTCTCAGGTACTGCGTCGGCTTCGGCCTCCCACACCTTCACTCTTGACTCTGGAGCGTCTCGCTCTTTCTTTCAGGACCGCACCACACTTACGCCGCTTAGTCGGCCGGTTGCGGTTTCCCTGGCTGACCCCTCTGGGGGTCCTGTCTTGTCTCGCTTCTCCACAGTCCTCCCGTGTCCGGCGGCTCCCTCTGGCACCCTGTCTGGTCTCTACCTCCCCTCGTTCTCTACGAACTTGGTGAGTGGTGCTGACCTATAGGATGCGGGAGTCCACCAGTTCACCCCTGCTCGTCAGCGAGTGACGCACTGCACAGAGGCTAGCACGGGTCGTCACCTGGCTACGTTTACACGTCAGCCAGGGTCGAGCCTGTACACACTGACCACTGCTTCTCCTCCAGGTGCTGAGTCTGGTAGAGTCCCTTCGTCTGGTCAGGTGTTTGCTGCAGCGTCCAGGTCTGGTCCTGAGTCTGCCCCCTGTTTGTGTCGCCGTCTGTCTCACGAGACCCTCCTCTGGCACCACCGCCTTGGCCACCCCTCTCTGCTTCGGCTCAGAGGCATGGCCTCCCGTCTTCTTGTGTCTGGTCTCCCCCGGTCCCTACCTCCCCTTCCTCAGGGCCTTGGCCCTGCCTGTGTCCCCTGTGTCGAGGGTCGCCAGCGTGCTGCCCCTCACTCCTCCCAGTTTCCTCCGACAGAGGCTTCATTGCAGACGCTTCACATGGACGTGTGGGGCCCTGCCCGCGTCCGTGGACTCGGTCACGAGCGCTACTTTCTGTTGGTGGTTGACGACTACTCGCGTTACACCACAGTCTTCCCCTTGCGCAGCAAGGGTGATGTCACTGAGGTGCTGATCGACTGGATCCGCACAGCTCGTCTCCAGCTCATGCAGAGCTTTGGCTCGGACTTTCCTGTGTTGCGTCTGCACTCGGACAGAGGCGGAGAGTTCTCATCTGGCTTTCTGCGTGCCTACTGTCGTGCGCGAGGCATCCGCCAGACCTTCACGCTTCCGGACTCCCCGCAGCAAAATGGGATTGCAGAGCGCCGCATTAGCATGGTCATGGACGTCGCTCGTACGTCCATGATGCATGCGGCTGCCCCCCATTTTCTGTGGCCGTTTGCAGTCAGGTACGCAGCGCATCAGATCAACCTCCACCCCAGGGTCTCCAGGCCGGAGACCTCCCCAGCCCTGCTGTGGACGGGGAAGGTTGGCGATGCGTCGGCGTTCCGGGTCTGGGGATCTCGGGCGTTTGTCCGCGACTTGTCTGCGGACAAGCTGTCCCCTTGCGCTGCTCCCTGCGTCTTCCTGGGGTTCCCCCTAGACGCCCCTGGGTGGCAGTTTTACCACCCCACCTCTCGACGTGTTCTGTCCTCCCACGACGTCACGTTCGACGAGTCGGTACCCTACTACCGCCTCTTCCCCTACCGCACTCCGTCCCTCCCCCCGACCGCGCTCTTCTTGGTACCAGGTCCCCCCCCGGTAGACCCCCTCCCCCCTCAGGGTCCTGCCCCTTCAGGTGTGTCCCAGGTAGACGCGGTTGAGCCTGTCGAGGTCACTGGTGACTCTGGTGCTGCTGCGCGAGCTGAGTCTGGGAGTGCTGAGCCTGGAGGTGCTACACTTGGGATGCTGAGCCTGGGGGTGCGGAGTCTGGAGGTGCTGAGCCTGGGGGTACTGAGTCTGGGGGTGCTGAGCCTGGGGGTGCTGGGCCTGGGGGTGCTGAGCCTGGGGGTGTTGGGCCTGGGGGTGCTGAGCCTGGGGGTGCTGAGCCTGGGGGTGCTGGGCCTGAGGGTGCTGAGCCTGGGGGTGCTGAGACTGGGGGTGCTACCCCTGGAGGTGCTTCGTCTCGTCGAGAGCCACTCCCCCCACAGGAGCTGCGTGAGTGGTTTGCCCGGCGCTGGAGGCGTGCTGCTGGTGCTGGAGGTTCTTCGGCTGCAGAGGGTACTGCTGCCGAGCGTCCCGGAGGTGCTCGTACTGTGGATGCTGGAGCTGCTGGGTCTGAGGGTTCTCCTGGAGCTGGTGCTGCTGAGGGTGTTGGCGCTGAGACTGCCGCTGACGGTCCGACTAGCAGTGCTCCTGGTGGTGCTGCTGGAGGTTCTGGAGCTACTGGAGGTGCTGCTGGAGGTGCTGCTGGAGCGGGTTCTCCTGCTGGGGGTACTGGTGCTGTCCCTGCTGTTCCTGGCGTCGCCGCGCGGCCCCGACTGTACTTCGTTCCGCTCCTGCAGCAGGTTCTTGGTCTTACACCTTCTCCTGGTCCTCCTCCTCCTCCCTTAGAGGGTCCACAGCCTGTCTCGTCACAGTGACAGCTACAGCCTGCCTCCCCTTTGCCTGCTCCTTCTCCCTACGCTGGTCCGACTGGAGGTCTTACCAAGCGTCGTGAGCCTGCGTCTCGTCCTGCGTCGCCTGTTTGTACTCTGCGCGCTAGTGGTCGCGGTTCGCGTCAGCGTCCTCCTCCTGTCCCTGGCACGCACCGGATTGTCTCTGCGTCCGTCTACTGCTCCCCTGCGTGCCCCTTTGCCTTCTCCTCCTACTTCCTCTTTTCCTGCTCTTGCCGACCCGGAGTCGGACTCTCTTCGTGCTGCCAGTCCTACTGTCACGCGTCTCCTTGCTACTGCTGTCACTGGCCCTTCTTTCGAGTCTTCTGCTGCGTCTGCCCTTGTCACTGAGCTCGTCGACTTTGCTGCGCGCTGTCGTCTAGACTACGCTGCTAGTCTTGTCGCTGAGTCTGAGTCTGCCTGTCCTCCGTCCGTCGGGGGTGAGTGTGCCCTTGGCACGGACGTCCTTGAGGACAGGCAGGAGGAGTTCCAGTGTTTGGCCGCCGCTTCACCTCATCTCGCGTCTGTACTGCTAGCCCATAAGGGAGACCCGGATGCACTAGACATCCCGACTCCGCGCTCTTATGCGGAGGCGATAGAGGGTCCCTACTCCTCTCAGTGGCAGGCAGCTATGGATGCAGAGATGGCTTCCTAGAAGTCCACAGGCACCTACGTTGACGCTGTCCCCCCTCCTGGGCCGAACATCGTCAGTGGCATGTGGATCTTCAGGGTGAAGCGGCCGCCGGGTTCTCCGCCTGTCTTCAAGGCGCGTTACGTGGCTCGTGGCTTCAGTCAGCGGCAGGGGTTTGACTACTTTCAGACCTTCTCCCCCACCCCGAAGATGACCACTCTTCGGGTACTGCTGCACGTTGCTGCTCACCGTGACTACGAGCTGCACTCTCTCGACTTCAGCACTGCTTTCTCATCTCCTCCCCCACCACTTCCTTCCAGATAGCCTCCAAGTCATGAGCCAAGAGTGTAACCAACCAATGTATGAGAACAATCTCTCTGCCTCAAAGCTCAACTCAGCATCAGCATCTGCATCCAGCGACTCAGTCACAATCTTCAACTCCTCCAGCGTCCTCATTTTCCCTGTGCCCAGCCGCACCACCTCGTCCACCCTCTCTGCTGCGCGGTTCACCTCCTCCCCCACCACCTCCCCCCGGATACCCTCCAAGTCATTGGCCAGGCGCGCCATGCTGGGGCGAGTGGCTGTGAGCGCGGCCGTGCAGGTGAGGGCCAGGTGAGCAGCGCGCAGGATGACATCATCAGGTGCGTCTTCTTCTTCCATGCGCGGGTCTCTCAGCAGGAAGGCGTCTTTTTCGCCTGAGACGTGGCAGCCCACCTGGTGGGAGGAGGGAGCGGGATGTGAGAGTGGCCGTGCAGGTGAGGGCCAGGACGGCAACATGCATAATGCAGGACGCCAGGGGTCTCCTCGGCATCCAGGCCCGGGTCCGTCAGCGGGGAGGCCTCTTTGTTTGACATGGGAAAGCCTATCTGGCAGGGTTGCGAGACTGCAACTTGCAAGCGAGCGAGAGAAGTGCTTTGAGAATTCTCAAAAGCGAGAGAAGTGCCGCTACCATGGAGATGCTAAAAGAGAAGATGACTGAGGTTGACAAGAGGAGCTTGCAAAAGCAAAACGTCTGAAAAACCCAAGCAGCCTTCAAGTACGCGGCTGGGATACATTCCATGATAAGTCACCCATGTGTGAAGTGCGTTCCTTACTTGCATACAAGGTTCCACGTCTTACCCACTCCAGGAGGTTTCTCATCTGCCCATCCACTTCAAAGTTGACATTGCGTCCCGTCAGCACCACAAGCATTGCGATTCCGAAGCTGCAGTTCATAAAGATGAGCAGAACAAAGCAGAGAGGAGGGAAAAAAAGAAAGATGGAAAAAAAAAAAAACTGGATCATAGAACTGTTGACAGTTAGCGGCCGGAACATCACACGAAAGTAACCAATGAAAACATAATGATTTCTGTGATTGTTAGCAGAAACAAACGTATTTAGCGGAACGAGCAGTACCTATACACATCGGTGCTGCTGGTGGCCATGTGCGACTTGCAGTACGCGGGGTCCACGAATTCCGGAGTGCCCATCACCCGCATGGCACCCACCGTGCTGCCCTCCCCCAGCCGCACCAACCCAAAGTCTGCAATCTTTGGCTGGAAGGCGGAGAGACAGGCAAAATATGTGCGCAAGCCGGAGAGGCAAGACATAAGCCATGCAGGTACTGCAGCCCCTCCGGTGCCCCTCTCATCACAAACACTGGCTCACATGCATCTTTGGAGTCTCGTAGAATGTTGCGCGGGCTTGATGCCGCGATGCACGATGCCAAAGCTGTGGAGGTGCTATCAGTAGCGGACAGGTGGGCTGCAGAGGAGAGCGTACTGCAGTGCAGACCCTTCCCTTTCCCTCTAGTTCCTTCCAGCATCACATCCACATGAGTCCCTGCACGGGTGCACCCTTTCCCCTCCCCTTCCTCCCCATGCACCTCTATACCGGCTCACATTCATTTTTGAATCCAGCAGGATGTTGGCGGGTTTGATGTCGCGATGCACGATGCCAAAGCTATGAAGGTACTCAAAGCCGTGCGCCGCTCCAATGAGGATGCCCAGCCGTTGCTGCAGTGTGAGGGGCGTTGGTGCGTCTGGTGGCATGAATGCAAGTCATTGAGGAATAAGACAAAGGAAAGGGCACGTCGGGAATCACAATACAAGTGCCGATAGAGAGACATCCCTTGGGAAATCCATGTTTGCCCACAAGCTCTTTTGAAAGTTTCTTTTGAGTCGACTAAAAACACAACCTTCAGTTCGCAGTACAGTTTTAGAGGCTTATGACGGGAACCCAGCACCCACCTTTCCCAACCCATTTCGCCAAGTCTCCATGGGACACAAACTCGTAGATGAGAATCTGCTCTATGCTCGACCGCACATCGCCCCCCATGGAGTAACCCAACAGCCGCACCAGGTTGGGATGGTGCTTGCTGGCCATCTGAGTCACCTGTGCGGAGAGAGAGGGAGGTTCAATAGGAGATAACGGAATAAGAAACCCCTGAACTATTTTCTAATGAGTCTTGCTTGGTGCTTGCTTCCCCTCCGCACATTCATGAGCAGCGAGCTAACAACGATTTGATTCAACGTGGTGCTTCTAAAGTCAAACCCTCAAACTTGGCATCATTACATCCAGCAATAGAGAAGAAAGAGAGAGCGTTGGAAGCATAGCTTAGCGTGCTTCACAGCCCATGCAGTGGTGCAAAGAGAGAGTGGACGGTGCAGTGCGGTGCAGCCATGCCATGGTCACGTCACACACACCTTGTTGTGGAAATCATTGGTGATGATTTTAGCGCGATTCACAGCCCATGCAGTGGTGCCATCGTCGGGAGACACACCCCAGTACACGTCCCCAAAGCCTTTTGAGGCGATCTCAAACATAGGGGGTATCTAGGGTCACCTCATTGTGGAAATCATAGGTGATGACTTTAGCGCGCTTCACAGCCCACGCAGTGGTGCCATCGTCGGGAGACACACCCCGGTAAACGTCCCCAAAGGCCCCCGACCCCAGCCGATTCTCCTCGCTCCAGTTGCCAGTCGCCCTGCACACCTCGTCCATAGTGTATTCCCGACATACCTCCCCGGATAGACCCCCTGAGGTGATTCATCCACAAAGGAAGAAAGAACAAGGAACAAGGAACAAGGAAGGAAAAAGGAACTTAGGAACGAAATATGATGTGCCAAAAACATTGTCAGTCGCCCTGCACACCTCGTCGAGAGAGTACCCCTGACACACCTCCCTTGATGGACTCCCTGCGGTCATTCATACACCAAAGTACAAGGGTAAACGTGGCCGATTTTTTAGTCGACTCATAGAAGTTCACTCCCGACAGACAGACCTCCCCTGATAGACCCCCTACGATGACTCATCCACCAAGGAGCAGGGATCAGGGAACAAGGAGGCCGGTTCAAAATGACCAACACCACTAACGTAAAATTGTTTTTTGGTAGCAAAGTGAAATTTGTGAATGTGACCAGCAGCAGACCGCATGAAGCACATCAGTGATGCGACCTCACAAGAAAGAGATGCACAGCTTACCTCGTTTGCTTCTCTCTGTCCTGTTTCCACCCGTCTGCCTTGCCTTACAACACTAGGCCGCACCACCAGCAGCAGCTGTCAGCAGCAGCAGAAGGGCAACAGCAATGCCGGCAATGGCCGCAGCGGACAATCCGGTAGAATCCGAGGGGGCATTGGAGGGGCTTGTGGGGGCGGCAGGACTCGCGGGGATGGTGGTGGTGGTGGGGTTCCCAGAGGCGTTTGTTTGCACTGGTGAGAGGAACGGGTGAGAGGAACGGGTGAGGAGGAATGGGTGAGGAGGAACGGGTGAGGAGGAATGGGTGAGGAGGAACGGGTGAGGAGGAACGGGTGAGGATGAACGGGTGAGGAGGAACGGGTGAGGAGGAACGGGTGAGGAGGAACGGGTGAGGAGGAACGGGTGAGGAGGAACGGGTGAGGAGGAACGGGTGAGGAGGAACGGGTGAGGAGGAACGGGTGAGGAGGAACGGGTGAGGAGGAACGGGTGAGGAGGAACGGGTGAGGAGGAACGGGTGAGGAGGAACGGGTGAGGAGGAACGGGTGAGGAGGAACGGGTGAGGAGGAACGGGTGAGGAGGAACGGGTGAGGAGGAACGGGTGAGGAGGAACGGGTGAGGAGGAACGGGTGAGGAGGAACGGGTGAGGAGGAACGGGTGAGGAGGAACGGGTGAGGAGGAACGGGTGAGGAGGAACGGGTGAGGAGGAACGGGTGAGGAGGAACGGGTGAGGAGGAACGGGTGAGGAGGAACGGGTGAGGAGGAACGGGTGAGGAGGAACGGGTGAGGAGGAACGGGTGAGGAGGAACGGGTGAGGAGGAACGGGTGAGGAGGAACAGGTGAGGAGGAACGGGTGAGGAGGAACGGGTGAGGAGGAACGGGTGAGGAGGAACGGGTGAGGAGGAACAAGAAGCCGAACGAGCTTCGGACTCAAGGTAACAGACATTACCAAGGCAAGTGCTAACAAAAGAGAGAAGCGGCCGACCACCAAGAGAGGCACGGGGCAGTAGATAGGGGATATTGGCAAAAGAGAGGCAAGTGCTCCCATAGCCCCCTCTCGAGTTCCCCTATCCATCCATGTCCCCGCAGACACGCACCTGGTCGCTTGCAGGAGGAGCAGAGGCCTGGCGGGGAGCAGGAGGAGCAGAGGCCTTGCGGGGAGCAGGAGGAGCAGAGGCCTTGCGGGGAGCAGGAGGAGTAGAGGCCTTGCGGGGAGCAGGAGGAGCAGAATCTGGAGCAGAAAGAGCAGAAGGCGGATGCTCTCCGCTGGTCCACCACACACGCCCCTGCCTGGGGGGGGCATGTCACTGTGTCTGGAAGATTGCTGCACAGTGCACACGTGGAGCAGATTGGAGAAGAGACAGTAGCATGAGAACAGCACAGTTATTACAGTAAACTGGTGGACTTATAAGTACGAGGGAATGAATGTTTGGTTTGGTAATCTCAAACATCCTCAATCGTCATGGATATGCGGAAAGTACACTATATCAGAACCAGCATGGAAAGACAACAAACAAGCTGCTAAAGAGAGGACGAGAAACAGAGAGAGGTGCGAAAACAACAGCGTCAAACCAATTGTGATGTTCCCGACTCCCGGGTGACGCAGGGAACACCCCTGGTTTTGAGTCGACTGAAAAGAAAACCACAGCAGTGCATTTGAGCATTGCTATAGTATAGCCCACAGCAGTGCATTTCAGCATTGCCAAAGTGTTAGAGCTGCCTCACAGTGTCAATCCAGTTGTGATGTTCCGGACTCCCGAGTGATGCAGGGAACACCCCTGACAACGAGGTACCTTCCAAGTTCCTGAGCAAGGCCAAACAGAAGAAACATCACGTTTGTGATTCGGTCATGTTGTGCATATTGTCATGTAAAGCGTGTGCAAAGGGAAGGGCGCATAGCATCGCTATCAACAGTCAGACGGGACTGAAGACTGCAGCAGAGTGCACAGATGGCTATCTACCCAGAGTGCAAAGGCCTGACTTACAACATAGTCATTTTGGCCAAGCTACCCAGGGACGCAGGCAAGGTTCCTGAGAGATTGGTCCATAGGCAAGCCCTGCAACCAATTGAACACAGCCGCGGGGTGGGTTAGATCAACTTTTGGGGCGCCTCAAAAGCCATCGCAGGCAAGGTTTCAGAGAGATTGTTCCACGGACAAGACCTGCAACCCATGGAACACGGCCGAGTTGTGGGATAGAGCGTGCATGGCATGAGCAAGGGCCGAGACAGGGCCGGCTTGCAACGAGCTGATCTCATCTAGGCAAATGATCTAAGTTAAGAAGAGCAAAGATTAGGACGAGTTCGATCTGTTGATCAGGCTCGAACCTATTTTTCTTAGCGCACAGCTTGTTGAGAGGCCTCGGACCGGCTCTTAAGGTGCCAGCTTCTCGAATCTTTTGGCTCGGCCCTTCGCTCATGCCTAGTGCAAATATTATGGTGCCTTTGTGGATCCATCCATGTGCATTGTCCAGGGTGGGATCGGATACTCCTTCCAGCTCTGTCAAGGTCGTGTGGCACCCGCTCGCCTCTTGCTTCTCCATCTCCTGTCTTCTCATAATTTTCCAAAACACTTAGACGGGAGTGCAGGGAGGCTTAGGCTTAGGCGGAAAATCAAGGAGGATCACTTGTGAGTGAGTGAGGAAAGGGAAAGTTGGCCCACAGGTACTGAAGATTGATGCTGCTTCCAATCAATGCAGGAAGAGAGCCTGAGAAGAAGTTGTACCCCACGTTTCTGCACAAAGTAGACATCAGAGGCAACAACATATGTATGGCTCTCTTTTGCAGGGACGCATGAAGACACAATACAGCAATTAAAGGCTGCAACTCGCCAATATAACTTGCTTTCTTCCTTGACTAGCGTGGGCTAGTTGGTGCACTTTCTCTCTCCCGTTCTCTTCGAACCAACCCGCCTGCATTGCGTTTCTTCCTAATTATAGAAACACCTAGGGTTCGGGTGACCTGGGTACTTGATTGAATCGCAGGAGCGTGGAATAAAAGACTCTCCCTGGCCCTCAACCCTTGGAAACAAACTCCGAGCTTCTCAGCAGCATCTCAAGCCCGGGTGTGGGTTGGGAACTATCCGGCTTACATAAACCTGTTTTGGCTTACACGGATTCGCATTCACTTACAAGTACCAAAGGCTTATCATGCCTGCGAGGGATGAAGGGAGATGGCCTGAGAGCGAGTTGTAACTCAAATCCCTGCAGCACACATTAAAGTGGAGATAGACATGGGTAACGAGGCGAATCGAACTCAAGGCGAGAGTCTGCCCGGACCGAACGCAATGCAATGAAAGCAGTCAAGCGTCAAGGGTGAGGGTTTAGGGGATTGTTAGAGCTGATGATATATAATCGAGAGAGAGCACTGAGGAGGCGTGGGGTTCTAATTGGTTAATTTCGTTCTCACGTATAAAGAATATCACCATTACGTATAAGCACAGAACATGACCAAGCGTAGACTTGGCCATTCGTGTCCGCCCATCCATATGTATGAATGCAAGTGCATGACCTTCGTTTTCCATTCCAGCATTCGAGAATTACGGCATTTAAAAATTACGGCCCTAGAGAATCAGGGCATTTGGGTTGGGAACTAGGGCGATAGGGGAATAAGGCTTCAGGAAATTAGAAAACCAGGGCATTAGGGAATCAGGGAATCAGGGTATTAGGGCATTAGGGCTTCAGAGCTCGTGACGACCCGGCCACACGAGACTGTGGGTGTGGCTGCACTGGTCAAACCGTCAATTCTTTGTTTCCTCTTCATTTCAGTTTCCTCTTCATTTCAGTTTCCTCTTCATTTCAGTCTCCTCTTCATTTCAGTCTCCTCTTCATTTCAGTCTCCTCTTCATTTCCGTCTCCTCTTCATCTCAGCTTGCCTACTTACTTGCATTGAGGGTAAATGTCATGGAGAAGATTACTCTGAAAAAATTGTTAGTGCTTCACACAAAATCGACTTACAATGTTTGAAGTGTCGTCAGGCTCTGAAGTGATGCAGGGAACGTTCCTGTGAGTTTGTTGCATGCTAATCTCCTTGAAAAATACAAGATGATTATTGAGTCGACTCAAAACACACAGGGGAAACTGCGTGATCATGGCAAAAACAGGTTCATCTCATCAGTGGCCACCTCTCAACTAAACCTTGCACAAAAAAATGATGTTTTCACCTAATCACGCACATGTGATGTGACTGATTTCCTTTATGCACAATTTTTACGTATGTGTTAATGCTTACAGTACTACCAGACTAGACAATCTGCTGAATGTTGCCGGAAAGTTTCCTGTAATGGAGTTATAAGCTAGGGACCTGCAACATATGAACCAGGCATGCATGAATACATGTGTGCGCGTGTGCGCGTGCGTGTGTGTGTGTGTGTGTGTGTGTGTGTGTGTGTGTGTGTGTGTGTGTGTGTGTGTGTGTGTGTGTGTGTGTGTGCATGTACATGCGTATGTATGTAAGGGAGCACAATGCAATGGCAGGAAGCAAGGCAGTCATGCATGTGTCATGCAAGTATCATGCATGTGTCATGCATGTGTCATGCATGCAGCATGACTTTGGTGCAGGTGGCTTATTCCAACCAAGTACCAAATCAAAGCACCATTGCTGAATGTGCAAAATGGCATGTCACATAGCATGGCATCATGTTTGTTTCGCTTACGTACATGGCATGTCATGACACCCTCCACAGACGGCAAGAGGAAACGTAATGAGAGCGAACAAAGTTTCACATGCATGCATACAAGTCGGGAGTCATGGAATGGAACTAACAGCTGGCGGAGGCCACTGAGTTGACCAAGAGCAGAAGGTATCGTTCCACTTATGTTACAATTCTTAAAAGATCTGAAAGGAAATGCAGAACACAGAGGTACATAATCAATGCAGTAGCAGGACAACGACAGGGAATCACAGTAAGGAGGCGACCGGATAAAAATAGAAGACTTAGATGTTGATTCTTAATGTGTAGTAGAGAAAATGGCACCATGAGTAGTTGAAGGGAGTGACGAACAAGGCAAAGAGAGCATCAAGCAAGAGACCTCTCAGGAGAGTTTAACAGACAGCAGTAAGCCACTAGGTGGGCGCAACTAAACTTCTACCCTAGAGTCATAATTTCTTCACACTTGAGTGCAAAAACATTGAGTAGCACTGAATCCAAGTGTTGAAATTCAGCTCAACCTGGAAATTTATCACTGAATTTAGCCCACCTCAGCCTGGTAAATTCTAGGCCCAGTGAAAGCGACAGCCCTGATGCCCATGTATAACTACAGGAACGTACAGCTCGTGTAAGTTGGTTACGTACAGCTCGTGTAAGTTGGTTACGTACAGCTCGTGTAAGTTGGTTACGTTACGTACAGCTCGTGTAAGTTGGTTACGTCACGTACAACTCGTGTAAGTTGGTTACGTTACATACAGCTCGTGTAAGTTGGTTACGTCACGTACAACTCGTGAAAGTTGGTTACGTTACGTACAGCTCGTGTAAGTTGGTCAGTTGTCCAATACTCAATGGTATGCTTCCAATGATGGCATGTGAAGAGGGATGGCTGCATGAAAGAGGCATGGAAACACGCTCCATAAACGTTCACACGGTGTGAATCGCACCGGCACATGCACACATGCGAGCGCACGCACACACACACACGCGCACTACTTCCTGATGAAGGATCGAGAAAGAAACGGAGAACACCACATGCATCAGCTCAGAACCCACTTTTGAGAATTCTCAAAAGTGATTTCATCAGCTCAGAACCCAGCCATTCAGCTTGGTTCGGCTCGTTTTCTAGGATTGCGCATCACGGGGACATGCTACGGCCACAGAAATTCATCTGGGCGCGCCAAGGCATGCTTGCAGTTTCAGACACCCCATCGGTGTGCTAACTTTGCATGAGTAGACTGGACTCGTTTCGGGTTGCCATTTACTCTTAAAGGGAACATACGCGATGGAGTGCAAAGCAGCATGTGGAGACCAGACCCCTGGATCACTGGCCTCACCATGACCAACTCAGATCTTGTGGACCGAAACACGAGAGCGTTGAGCACACGAGAGCGTTGAGCACCCGAAAGCATTTATGGCAAGCGAAACGTACAAGGACTGGAGCCTGGTGAGGTCGCCGATGCATTGAATTTTTGTGACTCAGAAAGTGAACTGAGACACGAGTGTTGAGCACCCGAAAGCAGGGATGGCAAGCCAAACGCACAAGGACTGGAGCCTGGTGAGGTCGCCGATGCGCTGGGTTGGGGCAAACTTCCAGACAATCCGAATTTTGAGGCGCCTCAGGAGTCAAAACGCACAAGGACTGGAGCCTGGTGAGGTTGCCGATGCGCTGGGTCGGGGCAAGCTTCCAGACAATCCAAATTTTGAGGCGCCTCAGGAGTCAAAACGCACAAGGACTGAAGCCTGGTGAGGTCGCCGATGCGCTGGGGCAAGCTTCCAGACAATGAGCAGTAGCTCAGGTTCCTGAAGCCTCAACCCAAACACACAGGCAGTGCGTGGCACGTGAATACACGCATAAGAATGCATAAACATTATGCGACGCGCTAGTAGTAGTACACATCAAAACACACAAAGAGTACACAAAGCATTAACTCAACAGTAAATCTACAACAAAATAGAATGAATTACACATTCGAGTTCGCCGCTTGCTCATCTGTACCATATCTCACATAGTAGGCGGCATGCGTATATTCCACAGCTCAACCTGCTTCTTGTCGGGGTGCGATGAACATGAACATGAACCTGCTTGTCATGGGTCAATCTGGGCCTTGGTTTGGCCGGGCAGCGCGGCCCCATCATAGACAAGCACGTCCGATGCCAGATCCGAGCGGATCTGTCTACGGCGAAATGCCCCACGTGCGCATTGCGGTGCTGATAGGCTCACATAAGTTTTACTCCACTGAGATGCAAGAGGTTCCAGTGATGTTCGCTTGTGCCACGTGTGAGAGGAAGTGACATGTGTGAGTGCGCGTTGCAGTGCTGCTGATAGGCTCACAGAAGCTTTACTGCGCTGAGATGCAAGAGGTTCCAGTGATGTTCGCTTGTGCCACGTGTGAGAGGAAGTG